TCTAATTGTTAGTTTAAATGCTATTTAGAAGTGAGTTATATCATTTATTGTGGTTTAATTTAAGAATTTTAGTTGCAAATACAGTTCTACCTTTGTGTTCTTGGCTTGCTCGAGAGAGAGATTTTAGAACTAAGGTGTTTGATTGATGCTCTGTGGGTATTGGGTTGGCATGGGTTCAGCTCGAGAGAGTGAATCCTAAACCCTTTTTCACATATTCAGCTCGAGAGAGTGAATGAACTAAGGTGTGGGTTGTTCTTATTTTGCATGATTGTTGATGTTTAAGAGAAATCAACTTGATTTGGGGTAAATTGTTCGAGAGAAAGTTTACCTCCTCTATAGTCTAGCTTACTCACTAATATCTAGTTATTTTTTAATAGTTGCAATTACTTATTTGTCTATATTAGCCTATAATCGAATCACATCCCAAGAACCCGTCTCACTATTGTTAATTCGTATTGTTTATTGTTGTTTGTAGTTGATAATTTCAAACCAAACCCCCCATTTGACATTCGTGTCACTCCCTGATTTGAATGATGTTTTTATTATATATTTTCTATTCATATGGCTGATTTGAACATGTTCACACTTTACTACTGAATCTCAAACGCGTACCGCTCTTTGTGGAATTCGACCCCAACTCATTTAGTTGGGTTATATACTGATTAACGACCGTTGACGCTTAGAACTGGATGAAGTGTCTTTGAAACGTTAATCAACCATGTGTCATCAACCTAGAGATATCAATCTCCTTAATAAACATCGCAGTTCTACAATCCTTCATGATCATCTTAGAAACACTAGAGACGAACTTACTCATACGGGCCCTAGAGTCGGCCACCGTAGTCGGAACATACTTGGAGAATCGAGTAAACTTCAAAGAATACTCATTCACTGTCATGTTACCCTGCCTTAGATTTATGAACTCTTTAACCTTAGTCTCTCTCTCTACTCAGGTGGAAAGAGCACCCTTGAATTTTCCCAATCCAATGGACCTGCATCGACAACTTTTCCTCCTTAATAATTTATACCAAATCTTAGTCACTCCATTCAAATGATACACAACCAAATTTGCACTCTCGATTGGAGTGATTCTCATAATCCCAATAATCTTCTAAATACCCTCAATAAACTC